TTATAAAATACGGTTGTGAATAAAATTTTGAAATTAAATCTCGAGGTGGAGGATTTTTGCCATCGTCAAAAGTGTTCCAAACCATTTTTTTCGGTGCTTTACCAAAAGTTCTAATTTCTATCCCAAAAGCAAATTTCGAGGTGGAGAAGATGAAAACAATGAATTTTTAAATCACGAGCGAGAATTGACTCCCTGATTTTAATTTATACCCGATTCCCAACCGACATTGTTGATTATAATCAAAGAGAGAAAAAAAGAAGAAATGGGGTACTGGAAATTTCTCAGAGGCCCACAGCTGTGCGCACAGACCTTGATTATTACAAGTAATAATTGATAGTTGAGTATTTAATCGCTGCTCTCTTTTTCATTGCGCACGCATCTGTTTCTCCTTCTCACTCTTTTTCTTTCGCAGATGCTCGCAATGGTACTTGTCTTTTGTTATTTTCCCATCAGGTATAAAGAGGATTGAAGGGGTGGGGGGCAAACAGCAATGGCGTTTTTGCCCCCTCGGGTCATACAACTCTTTTTTCCCCTCAATTCTTTTTCTTTTTCTCTTTCTCAAATGATTTTTCATAAGGCAAGTACTCAGAGAGAGAGAGAAAATTACAACTGACTCGCATTTGCATTAGATATTTTTGCTCCAAGTCAATCGAACTTATCGTTTCGATCGATGGTGAAAAATATAGACCATATGGCCGGCGTGTAAAGTTTCCTCTTGTTGAGAACTCCGCCTCTTACAAATACACCCCAAGAGCCTTATTTGGAAAGCCATCTGGAAAACTAGATGGTCAAGTGTCCAATTCCAAAAGAGATTTCTCTTCTTTTTTGCCCATAACAGGTAGCAGGGACTTTTGCCAAAAGAAAAATAAACCCCTAACACAATGAATTTCAAAAGACCTTAAAATGGAATAAAGACATTTTTCTTCGCGTGTAACGAGCGGAAAAAATGCCCAAATTTTCCAAACAGGTGTCAAGTTTCTAAAGAGAAAACTTTTTTTTCTATTCAAATCAGAAAAATTCCGTTGGAAGAAGGAATTAACAAGTTCGAATTTCTTTTCCTCAAAGGAAACTAAGCTAACGAGAAATATTATTAACAGAAAAAGATGGTTTAATTATCTATAGATTTTTGTTCGTTGAGAATTTAATTATCTCCTTTCCTATATAATAAAGGTATATCCATTTCTTTTCTAAATTTCCAAGAGGTGTACAGATGAAGGAATATCTCTAATGACTGGAATCAATCTTCATTAGCTACCGAAAGTCTCCATCATTGGGAGTTTGTAATTTATTAACATTAAATCTCGGTTTCTTTTTTACAAGCACTTTTTTTATTCATTTATTCTTTTTTTGTGTTTTCGTTTTAATGCACAACTCGAACAGTGGGTTAAGAGCCACTCCTCCGATGACCATGTATTGCCTCACGTAAACCGCAGACGCCAAGTATAATTTAACAGCGCATGGAAAAATGAACGATTACAGATTCAAGGCCTACACCAAGAACGATTACCAGACATTACACGCACGTTGCATTTCGACTTGAATCCTATTCGACACATACACACATATATACGAAGACACACGTGTGTGTATATAATACCACTGTCATTGGAAATCTTTTTTTTTCTCTTCAAATCATCTATTCTTCATTCCCAGAATTGGCTCATTAACATATTTCACCACGTCATTTCACGCGTTGAGAACTATAAATTAGCTCAATTTTATTTTTAATTTGATACCTCGAATCTCATAATCAATCGAATTTGTAATTTTTCTAGGTTAGGTTAGACGAATTTTTAATAATTTCAAATAATTCCGATTCAAGGAGATTAGATGAATCAATTTAAAATGAAAACATGCCATTGTTTAGAATCAATTTAAAAAAATTATGTCAATTTATATTCGAAGGAGATAAATCGTTAAAATTCGTAAGTTGAGAAATCGAGTTTTTCGAGCCAAACCTAAAAAATTGTAAATTCTAAAACGTCGAGTTTTTACTCGACAATTCCGTGTTGTTCTAAGGACACTCTAGTCAATTGAAAATAGTATAACGTTCGCCTCTTTAAGTACAAGGAAGCAAACGTAGACCGCAAGAGAGAGAGAGAGAGAGAGAGAAATTCAAGAACAAGGTGCTCGTTGCGTCAACGAAGGATCCTTGGGGTTTCAGTTATTTCCTTACATGCCTCACTTCCCTTATCCAAATGAAAAAAAACTACACAAAACTTAAACATGACGTCCTATCTCTCTCCATTTACGTCGAAAATTAACCGCAAGTATTTAATTCCGTTGGAATTTCCGGTCTTCCCGATTCGGTCTTTTAATTTCTGCTCTGTTGATTTTGAAATTCTATATTTATTCCCCGCCATCAATATCTTTCGCAGGCAAAGAAAAAAAGGTAAAACTATTTTACAGTAGAAACTCGATAAGTGCGTCTTACTTTCATTTTCGTGTTACGGAACGTCACATCACTGATTTCGATTATTATCATCATCGACGCTCACATTTTAATCAAACAATATTCCAATCTTATTATATAAATCATTACATAAATATCGCGAATCTTGCAGATCATTGCAATTAACGATAAATAACACTAAATTGTAAAATAATGAAAGGAAAAAACTTAATAAAAAAAAACTACTCAAACACAAAAAAAACTATTAAATAAATACTAAAAAGATATTAAAAATACACTACTTTTAGCTACTAAAACTACACTATAAATTGACTAACAAAATTTGATATTTCAGTTCAAAATAGCCTAACGAATAGAAATCGAAATTCAAACTCGAACCTAACTCAAATGTCAACACAATCCTATTTCCCATAGCCTAAAAAAATTCAAAGCTAAACTGCGGCCTAAAAATCAAAATCAACCCAAATTGACAAACAGCAAGAGTTAAAAAAATTAACAAATAAAAATAATAATCGGAGAGTTAATGAAGAATATAAATTTTGTGGAGAAAAAAAAAGAGAAATAAAAACGCGGCTTATTTTATGATTTATAGATTGAAAAATGATTGCGAGATTGGAGATGAAAAAAAGTTGACAGGGACAGTATTAAAGAATAAAACAGATTGTTTTGATTGAAAGAAATATATACATATGAACACACGTATCTTGGGAACCTGACTAATGCTATTAAAGAAGATATAAGTGGATGGGATATAATATATTATTCGCTATTAGCCTGCAGCTGACGGAAGTAAAATATACTTAAGGTCAAACCGAGGAGGCAGGTTCGCATCTCAACGCACAAATACAAACACACACACCAACAATTCTTGTTCGCGGCCTTCATTCACAAGAGTGACAGTTTATCTCTCTACGTGTGGTATACATTCGCGATTGGCATCACTACACTTTATATTTGTGTATGCGTGAAGAAAAATGTTCCATACACTCAAGTTCATAATACCTTATCGGGAAGAAAGAATCAAGGAAAAAACATCTCTCATTTTTTCATGATAACTCTTCCTATATAGTTCTTTTCACTATTCACATCCCTAATCGCAAATGAATCACGTTTCTTCGAAAAAAACTCAACTAAATTTAGAATTAGGTTTTTTGAAAATTCAAAAAAAAAATCTTGCCTTTTAACGGTTCTCCGTTCTCGTTATGACGATAGGGCTTTTTAAAAAGAGGTCAAAATTAATGTGGAGCGCAATATTTATGTGCGGCGAGGTTTTTACGATGTTGAAACGTCCCGAGTTGAATTTATCATAAGGTTATAATACCATCGCGTCTCGAGAGCGCCTAAGGAAACCGCAGAGACCCAAATTTTTTGAAAATGAATTGATCAAAAAGAGAAAAATTGAGTGAAAAATTCTTTTTTGCAATAGAAATAGGATGAAGGGAGCTAAAAAGTTTAGTTTACTCTCTATTGGGATCATGATCATGGTTTATTGATGTGGAGAAAATGCGATTGGTATATACGAGTAATCGAGATTTGCTGCAGGGGTTGCAGGTGGTTCTGCAAATCCGACTCTAGTCGGGAACTAAGTACGTCAAAGGGTTTAAGCTCCTCCATAATAGACATTCATAGGGACTTGCATTCACGTTCCATTTCCGCTGATGTGTTATATGAAGCCAAAGGGAATCAGAGATTAACCGGGAACTCAAACGTAAATGTCCGCACGTAAACCGTCGTGTAAAGACCCATCGATAATTCGTCTATTATTATTATTATTATTATTATTATTATATTGACACCGGAGATTTTCTTAAGTGCGTTCCCGATCGTGAGAAAAATTAAACCTTCTATCGCAAAAAAGACTCCCTCCAGAAAAACAAATCCACCAATTATATTAATTGCCGATTTTATCTAATTCTAATATTGTCGATTCTATTATATTTCTTTCGGTTGAGAGAAAAATCATTCCCGACTCGCGTTGTGAAAATAATTATTAAACATATTAGCCATCTTGAACTTTCGATTACGCGCTTGTCCTTCGGAACATATGGGCGAGGTCCTATAAAAGCAACCGGCTAAGAAACGCAGTAAAAAATGTTATGGCTACACTTCAGTAATTGACTTGTGGGCGTCCAATAACCGAGCCGTAAAAACCGAGTAGTTCCCAGATTCTAAAATCCGACGAATGTTTATCGAAAATTAAAGAAAAAAATTACAGGATATCTTTGGTTTCGCGAAACTAGTTTGGTTAGGTTACCCCCCTCTATTATTAACTCCTCCCATATTTTCCTCTCCCATCCAATTTCAATATTAAATTGTCTTTTCATTTTTTCGAAAAATACCTTTTTTCACTTCGATCCCTCTTGACTCTTTTAGTCTTGTTTATTATTAAATTGTCTTTTTCATTTTTTCAAGAACCTTTTTTTTCGATGAGACACAGCAGAATCTGAAACAGAAAACATTAAAAAATTAGAAATCAAATTTTAGTCTGAAGTTAAATTTTACTTTAGAGTTAAATTGCCAAGGGGAGGGTAAGGGAACCTTTCTTTTCCTCACAAATTAACCGTGAATTGAACTTTTTTTGTTACAGACGAAGAAAAACAATCCAAATCATATAAAGAGACCGATGAACGCTTTCATGGTGTGGTCGCAAATTGAGCGCAGGAAGATCTGTGAGATTCAGCCCGATATGCACAATGCGGAGATCAGTAAACGATTGGGACGCAGATGGAAGACACTTGATGACGAGGCGAGAAGGCCATTTATCGAGGAGGCCGAGAGACTACGACAATTGCACATGGTTGAATATCCCGATTATAAATATCGACCAAGGAAAAAAACGACAAAACCATCGCCCTCGCCAAAAACAAAGGAATTAAAGAAGACCAAGAAATTATCAATCTCCCAAGTGACACCAACAAAAATACGCAACGACTCCAACAACAATAACACCCAATCACCAATCAAGAGGCTTCAATCGCCACCAACGACAAATCCAGTATCGAGGCTCAAAATAAAGCTCGCTCTCGATAAAAGGCCACAGGATTACACACCCCTACCGCCAATAATCACTGCCAAGGTACCAAGTAGTCCATCGTGTGACACACCCGATTCACCAGAATCGGCAAGTTTCTACGATGATAATTTCATCGATTCCACCTGTCTTCCAACGACAACATCGACGACGACGACGACGACAGCGGCTAAAGTCAAACAGGAAGCTGCCGACTTGGAGTACAATGAGTTCCTCAATGACAGGTTACTATCGTCGGTGAGTTCTTTTGGTGGCGATCTAGCAACATTAGCACGCAGCTATCAACGAACAACGCCATGTCGATCATTGGACAATGTTTTTGTCAAAGAAGAACCACACGATATCACAACTGGTACGACGACAATACAATTAAATTGTTCACCATTAACCGCAACAACAACAACGACGACAAATCAAAATCTAAAACTCAATGACGATACAACGAATCATAATCTTGGCGATCTTGATTCCCTATTGCAAATCTCATCCACCGATCTCCTTCAAATACAACCGGATTTTAAACTCGATCTCGATATGGACACAATAACGACTGATCTTGATTCATTTGAAACATCAAGTTCCAGCAGTGGATCACATTTTGAATTCACATGCACACCCGATGTCACCGATATGTTGTCATCAATTGGCGTTCATAACGAATGGGGTAGTTTTTAAAGAAAAAGAACAAAATTTTTACAAAGACGATCGAGGTCAAAATATTACTTTTTTTTGTAAAGGGGATTCTTCGAGAGATTTGCATCACTAATTTGAAGAAAAAAATTTTCTTTCAATATTTTTTTTGGAGAAACTAAATTCGGAAATTATTTATTTTGTCGTGATCAGAAAATTTTGAGGTGACGTTTCCTGCCTCTCTTTCCTTAAAGTATTCTGCGGTTTCTGTTTGAAAGAGGAGGGAGGGGGATTTTTTTTCGCGTCCCAGGCTTTCATACTAAAAACCGGTTACGCTATTGGAAGCCCTGATGAGAGAGTTTGGCCAAGGTGAAGAGAATCACATCCTTTGGGAAAAATCTTTTTTTGCTTTCATGTCCAAGGCTTTGCGGTCGGGACACTTTTTTTCGAATTTATGAACAATTGTGAGAAATTTGCCTGCTTTTTTTTTATTGGCAAATTAGCAGCAATTTCTTTTATATACCAGAAACATAAAAGATTTCTTTGATAAACAAAAATTATATATACCAAAAAAAGAAAAGATTCAAAAATAAATTCAAAACGAAAAAGATTTTTCCAAGGAAAATTTGTACGTCTTCTTTAGAGCAAAAATTTGTAAACCCTTCACAAAAAAAATTCTGAATTGAGTTTCTCCAAATAAAAAAAGGGCCAGTATTATGTTACTATATTTAAAAAAAAAATGAAACCGGAAATCGGTTTCTCTAGATTCAAATCTCTTGAAATCAAACGAATGAGAAAAAAAGTGTTCCTCCACATTTTGAAATCTGATACTAAATTTCCCCTTTGGCTTATTTTTGAAAAAGAAAAAATTCTAAAGGAACAAAATTTTATATAAATTTTGTATTTTAAAGAAAAGGATAATTTATATTCTTCTATGTAATTAAATTCGTTTTTTTGTAGTGTGGACTTTTTCTATTTAAAAAAAAACTTAAAATTTAATCGTTTTTTAATGGCATTTTCTCTATATTTATATATAAATACATATTAATTATATTAATAATAAAAATCTAATCATTTTTTCTCAAAGAAATTTTTTTCGACGTATTTGCGTATAACTTAGAAAGTAAATTATTTAAGTTTTCGTGTTTTTTTCTTCCCAATTTCTAGGTAATTAAGTATATATATATTATATATTTATATAAATATTGTATTTGTATTGTAGAAATTTTTTCGGCAAAAAAAAATTCAGGATAAAAATGTGGAGAATAAAAAAGAAACGGAAATTTATTTTTTTAAAAGTACTCGATCGTCTTACGATTTGATATAATAATAAACAAAAAAAAGTCTTTTTGTTTTTTTTAAATATTAAAAAAAACACACACACACACGATATATATATTCGCGCCGATAAAAAAATTATAATATAAGCGTTTTTGTATATTTACTGTAGCATACTAGTTTTGTAACGCTCTTTTTCTACGAAAAAAAAGTAAAGAATAATTGATCAAAGACCGCCGAGCGTCGATTGGATTACTGATAGAAAAACTTTCCGCTTGTGAGAGAAAAAGAAAATTTCAATTTCAAACTACTACTTGATTATTTATTTATTTAATAAATAAATAAACGCAAAAGAAAACAATAAATTTATTTATTTTATAAATAAATAAAAATTTAGTCAATAAATTTATTTTAATAAATAAATAAACATAGAATAATTTTGTTTATTTATTTAATAATTAAATCAATGTACAATACAAATAAATGTATAATAAATAAATTTATATTGAATAAATTAATTTAATAAATTTAAAAATAAATTTGTTTACCTAATAAATAAATATATAATAAATGAATTTATTTACCTAATAAATATATAATAAATAAAATTATTAAATAAATAAATAAAAAAATTATTTATTTCTTTAATAAATAAATAAGTATAATAAAATAATAAATTTATTGGAAAAAAAATTATAATAAAATATCGAGAGTAGAAAAACGTGCCGAGAAATTTTGTTTCACCGATTGACGCTCGCTGATCTTTAAAAAAATGTTGTGTATATCGGTATATTTAGTAATATATAACACTTGTAGTATATATGAAAAGCAATCCTACGTCGTAAGTCAGAGGAAATGAAGGCGTTTCGAGGTTATGGAACTCACTAAAATACGAAATTTTAAATTTCAACACTCGAAACTCGATAACTGGTAATATTTTCTCCCTAATTTTAAAAATAAATTTTTTCGAAAATTAAATAAAAAATAGAAAAAAAATTAATGTGCAAACTAATAAATTCGAAAAAATCAATCGAACCTCGATAATTGTCATTTGTTTAATAATTGGACAATTATCGAGGTTCCACTGCAAAAGGCATTTCCCCCCCAACTTTTACAATAGAAAATGTTTCCAAAAATTAAATCAAAAATAGATTAAAAAATCAATCAGCAAATAAATCAAAGAGAAAAAAAATCAATCGAACCTCGATAATTGTTACTTTCTTATAATTGACCAATTATTGAGGTTCCACTGAAAACTGTTTTTTCTAAATTATTTTGTTTGTCAACTTGGAGACGTTTCTTTAATTCTTGAAGGGGTAAAGAAATCTTAAAAACTCTATAAATATCGATGTCATTTATTGAGGTTCTAATGTACAAAGCTTTTTTTCATGAGTTTTAAAAATATTTTCATATTTTTCTTTCACATCAACTTGGAAACATTTCCCCCCCCCCAAGGGTTAAAAAAATGTTTTCTTTAAAATTCTCCTCTCGTAGGTTAAAAAAATTCTAAAAACTCAATAAGTGTCGAGAACAATTATCGAGGTTTTACTGTATTATTAAAATAACGTCAATTAATAGAAAGAAAATGTTTCCAAGTCCTAGGGAAAAATAGTGGTAACAAAAATAAATAAAAATCAAACGATTATCATGTTTTCTGACATTTTCCCACTTATCAAGGTTCGACTGAAGATAGAAAAATTTATACAAAAAAAAATTCGTCCTCTTTTTGTGAGTTCCTGACTCTCTTGTCAAGTCATAAAAACACGCAATACAATACCAATAATAAAATAAAGCAACAGGATGATTAAAAAAAAAATATAAATTCAATCAATAAATTGAAAAATGGCGAAAAATTGTCCTTTCTTCGAAAATTTTGCATTTTAATTTCGACGATTTATTGAATGAATCGTAACATCCTGGTCAGAGAAGGAAAAACTAAATGTAAACTTGTGCAACAAACTCGAAATTCGAAGATAGATTTTCATACTGGGATTGATTGTTTTTTAAATATTAACCCTCTTTACTGTATTAAAATACAGCGTCAGGAGGGAAGTGCAGTTTTTTTATTATTATTATTTTTGTTCCTTTTAAGGAACTTAACAATATCAAACTTTGATCTCATGTCCTTTTACATTTACTTTAATTACTTAAAAGTTATTTTACGTTAGAACTACTAATACCAGCGAAAGCCCACTACCGTTATTATTTTTTTTTTCGTTTCCTCAAATAACTAAGACTTTCTTTTTGTCGTTTCTTGCTTTTTTTGCGAGCCCAGCAAAAGGGGCCATTTTCATGCCATTTATACTTTTTATTTTTGTGTTCCAGACGTGTCAGGGTTAAATATATAATTATTGTTTTTCTTTTTTCTATAGAAAAAAAATATTTATCGCAAAAAGAAAGGAAAAAATAAAATTGTGAAAAAATAGAAGAAAAAAAACAGTGCCTGAGCACCTCCGATCAAGGTTTTTTTTTGATAAATAAATAAATAAATAAATAAAAAAAACCGTCGTACAAAATCGAAAGCAGGGCCAAGAGATAAAAATATTTAATAAAAATTTCTTTCTGGGTTTAAAATAAAAAAAAGAGGGAGAAAGAGAGAGAGGGAGAGAGGGGAAACCACATCTTCTATAAAAATTAACAAAAAACAAAAAAAAAAAATCAACCGCTACATTTATACAAAAAAATACTGCAGGCTGTGATGTGATGTATCTCTGAGAAAAAAATTAAATAAAAAAAATTGTATTATAAGAGACGTTTAATAAATTTCGAGATTCCGTGTAAAATAACCACTAACTCATCCAGAAACTCGTACCACCAGTATTCTATACCTGAAATTTTGGAATTAAAAGTCTGACTTAAAAAACAAACTGACATTGTTTTTTGGGTATCAACGAAAAAAAAACTATTTTTCTCAAAAAAGCAAAAAACATATCAGGCTTTTTTTGTAATTGCATGTCCTCCCGCTTTTTTTTATTTTATTATTTTTTAAACAAAAAAAATTATATTTAAATAAGTAAAAAAAATGGCAATTTTGCGACACAAGTGCAAAGTAGAATTTTTTTTTCCAAAAAGAAAAAAACTTCAAGTGCAAATAAATCTCAAGACTGTCTTTTATAAACAAATTATGCCATTAATAAGAATCTAATTGTAAAAAAATTTAATAATTAGTTACAACTTACGGTGGTTTTATTCGCAAATGAATTCACGAGATGGTAGTCGCCATTTTTTCTTTGTTTACGAGTAAATACCTCCCTCCCCCACTTTTATCCCCATGCAATTATAATTTTTATTTTTCAAATTTTTTTTCGCTGAAATTCGAGACCCAAACAAAAAATTCTTTTGCCAATTTCAATTTTTCTTTGGCAAAGTGCGCGTGAAATTAAAAATTCGTGGTTTTTTTTTAAATAAGAATTTCGATATTTAAAACTTTGAATTTAAATTTAATTTAAATTTAAAAAAAAAGAAAAAGAGCGAATTTTTTTTCAAATTTGTTTTCGTAATAACTTTGTGACTAGTTTTTTTTTATTCATCATGTGTTTATTGTGTGTGAAAATTTAAAAAAAGGGGGGAAGATTCGCTCAATATAAAAAGGGAAAAAAGAATTTTTTTTTAAAGAAAAAAGTTTTCTGAAAAAAAACTTTCAGAGGAATAAGTGTGTTGTTTCTTTGTTTAAAAAAAAAATTATACTTGAATTTTTGAAAATTTAAATATATATAAATATATATGAATATTGATGTCTTGAATAGTATTTAATCCTTGCTTTTTGAATTATAATATTAGATTTTGCATATATTTAATATTGAATTTGATATTTGAAAATATTACAATTAAAGTGTTTTTTAGATGCAGTCGTCTCTCGATAAGTGATCGTTTACTATTTTTCTTAATCGAATCATTGAAAATAAATTTTAAAAAAAGATAAATAAATGATAAAAAAATGTAATTCCACGGATTTTATATCTCAGGTTCAAATGTATAAAAAAACGACCACTTATCGAGGTTTTACTGAACCTCGTTATGAAGAATTTCGATTTAAAAAGAAAATTTCAACTTTTATCGAACCTAGTTTTTAATTTTTTTTAAAAATTGAGGTTTAACTGAACCTGGTTCTGAAGAGTTTAAATTTTTTTTAGAAATAATCCCACTTATTGAGGTTCTACTGAATCATATAAAAAAATTAAGACTTTTATTGAGATTTGACTTTTGAGGTTCAGGACTAAACCTGATTCTACAGAAGTTGAATTTTAAAAAAATGTTATTAACAAGATTCACCGAAACGACCACTTATCAAGGTTCTATTAAATGTTAATTTTTCAATCGAGTTTTTACTCCAACTCAATATAGAAGAGTGCCATTTTATCGAATATCAATTGATCCTTTATTCATGAAATCTATCGTGTATTGACTCTCAATTCCCACGATGTTCATTTATCAAGGTTCGACTGATTTTCAACTATGAAATTCGGTCATTTATCAAAGTTTTACTATATTGAACGCAAACTATGCATAAAAAGAAACTTCAGAAAATTATTCCTAATATTATTAAATAAATTATTTATTAAATTATTATTATTATAAAAAATA